ATTGAGGGGCTAATGACTGGCCATCAGCACCATTGTTTCTTCAAAAACCCACCAACACAATTTCTGTTCCTTGAATAAGCCATGGCTTTTATTTTCAGATACAAACAATTACAAACAACCAAAACTATATTTTAAAGAAAACATATTATGAAAATACTGTGAACTAAGACACACTCCTCCATGGACTGCTGGGGGTAATAAACACATCCCAATGCAAAAATCTATGCATTTCTGCAGTATGCTATTCCTCAGGTTTTTGGGTTCCAGAAGGAAGATGGTAAGTGGTAACTGGCTAAAATTTGGGGACATAGTACAGGTGACAATTTGTGACAATGTACTAGAAGGACTAACTTCTAGGTGTACCTGTATGAAAAGTGCACAATGAAAAGTTTTTCACCCCAGAAAACTGGATGAAGGTTAAGGTTAACACAGCTAGAAGGTGTTTTTGTTTTGCTTTTTAATGAACCTTAATTCTCAAATTCTTACACAAACAGGAATAAATAAATAAGGATTCTATGAGGTCATAGCAGTTTCTCAGCTAATGACATACATGTTTTCTTTTCTACTGCACAAGCTAAGTTGGACACACTATTTACCAAGTGGCAAACCCAGTTATTTTACATTTTTACATCAATAACAGTTTAAGATAACCCTACTCTCTGGGCTACAGTCTGATATTTAAACTTCAGCAATATACAAAGAAACAATTTAGATTTATCTTTCACATGGCCGGAATCAAAGTAAAATGCACCTTAGGAGGCACGCACAGTTCACTTTCTCCAACATTGCTGTACTAGGAGATCATCAGATAAACCACATAGATAATCCCTTCAGCAGTGTCACAGTAAAGGGCACACTATATTGGCAGCTTGAGGGTCTTTCCAAAGATTTGTGCAGTATTTTCCAGAAGGTTACATTTAGAGAATAATAAGTACCCGCAAGCACAAGCTTTGCTTGTAAATTAGCCTGTAGGCAGCTTTTCATATGTAGCAGAACCTCACTACCTCATACCAACAGAAATATATACCACTAATTTTACAAAATGGAAGGCAACATAAACCTTACACTGAATTATTGGAGGACATTGGCTGCTTTTTATTAGTTGAGGAAGGGGTTTTGTTGTTGTTTTGTATAAGTATGCTAGAAGTGAATCCTGCATCTGCTATGAGAAAACAAATCTTTGGATGCTGTGGGGGCTAGAGTATCATTTCCCTCCCCTGTACTCCCATTAACAAAAGAAACTCAGCTATTCAACAAATTAAAAGGAATACAGTATATAGTGCAGTTCTATACAGTTCTACACAGAAGTAAGCTCCACTAAATTCAATGGGCTCCAGGATTGCAGCCTCCAAGTTACACCTTACTGATGAATGGAAATTTACAATGTATAAGCATAAAGAAAATTCCACACAGATATAGCCATTCGAATCATGTTCCCAAAACAAGTCAAAAATGGAAAAGCCTCTGCTTTAAGAATGAGAGAACACATTTTTATAAAATTCACGCAGCCAGTTTATATAAGACATGGCTTCCTGCAATCTTGTTCAAAAGCATACCAAGCAAGCACACTAAAAAAACCCCCAAAACTTATGAGTAGAAATGTTTATAATGTAGAGAAAAGAGTATAGAAAAAGCATGCTTAGGAAGGAGGTGTTATTGCTTAATAGATTGTCCCATTTATTTCAATAGAATTAACTTCTATTTAATATTGTAGCCTCAGTCATTTCAAAACATTCTAAAAATGATAGTCCTATAAAATATAAATTGCAATGATCTAAATTAGAGCAATTTCACTGCAACTCAAGCTAACACATTTTTATTCGTAAGATTTATTCACAAATGATAGTTTAGAATCATAAGCAAAATACAGGGCATATGCTCAATGATATAGGAATATAAACATCCCATGTATGACCTGTTACATCATGACACCATTTTATCCTTTTGACATGGAGGCTTTTCTGAATTTCCCCCTCAAATGTTTCAGTCCAAATACGTCTGGCTCTCCAGATAACTCTCCAGATATGTTTATACAGAACAGAAGATTAGCAGAGTGTACTTTTTAGTTTTGTCTGCTAAGTAGTCCATGAGCTTGTTAAATGTGATTTCTATCCATTTAGGGCAGGGGTTCCCAAACTCTTATCCATGGGCCACCAGTGGTCCACAACTTTCATTCCAGTATTCCATGGAGATGGGCACATCCATCCCACAGAATATTCATACTGATTTCTAATTTTGTTTTGATTGCTTGTTTTATTTATTATTTATATTGTATTACACACTGGTTTCTATGGAACTACAATTGCTATGACAGGCAGGGAAAAAAATCATTAAGTGGTCCACCAAGACTCTCAGCCATTTTCAAGTGGTCATGAGGGGCAGAGAGTTTGAGAACCACTGATTCCAGGTATTTTCCCTGGAGATTTTTGGAGAATTTCTCCTCAAAATCCCCCCTCCCCCCCAAAAAATGAGATTCAAATATTCTGGAAACCCCTTATCACTGAAATGTTTTGATGTAATGCTTGAACCACGGTTTAGCATCACAAGAACAAGCCATTGCCACCCCTAGGCCTGCAAGCTCCACCCGTATTCTTCCAGGGTGACTGCAAAGAAGAGACTGCAGTTTGGGACACATCCAAAGCCACACAGTGAATCAACAGGTGAGATGGCATTTAAACCCAGGATCATTAACCATAACTATGCTGGAGGTATAAAAAAAATGCATCTGGAACAGTTTGAAAAATTATACAATAGGATCTACGTCATAGGAAAATGTGTTTATGCCATTGCAGTGCTGCTACGTGCCATTTTAATACTACTAGAGCATCATGGCACAACAAATGTGTTATTTTCATGCTGTAGTTAAACTGATCCATGGCACAAACAAATAAATAGTGAGATTAAAGAAGGGAAGAAAGGGAGCCCTCGTTTTCTATTAGGAATTCACATTTTACCCAGGCCTCTGGGAATCCTACATTAAAATCTTCCTACTGCTTGTATTTGTCCCCTTGAAGGTCATTAATGTTACCAATGAAACATTCTGAGGATTTTAAAAAGATAATCCCTGGCTGGGATTTCCAGATCTTTAGTTCCAGCTCAACACATATAACCAGAAGAGTGGTTTTACGTAATGCGCTTTTGCTGTCGAGTGCTGTTGCTTGAACATTACTTTATATGTCCATAGACATAAGCATGCACGTTACTAGTTTCTCCCTGTTAAGTATTCAACTCCACGGTTTTCACTCAGGTTTAAACCTGCAACAAACCTGTAATTGCATAAGCCTTCCAGAATATTTGGGCCAATGAAAACAGTGGGAAATAAAACAGCATCCCCTACGTAAATCCTTTATTTGTTTTTGATTACTAAGCTTTCATCAAGTATCTTATAAACAGACATGTTTAGAAAACAAAAAGTTTCTTGTTTTATTTTTGCACCGTCAACATTCATAATAACTAAACTGATGGTGCTGGAACATAAATATTCATTTACAGAACAGGCGTGCAAGGAATCCCTCAATGAGGATATAGCAAAACAAAAAATTCCAAATCAGCACCTCTAATTTCCATAACATTGTGAGAGCCAGAACAAAATATCAGTAACATGGGTTGTTTCTCCTTATTTTTCACAGTTTCGCGCATGCCGCTGTCTTCAATATCAACCAGATTATATAAAAATGAAACCAATGCAACATCGCAACATCACACCCTTTTCCAGTGTCTGTAAATATCCAGTACTAAATCAGGTTATTCCCAAAACTATATAGATGCATTTGCAAAAGCATCTACTTGCAAAAACCCTGCTTAGGCTTGTGTGCCTAAAAATCACTTGGGACATCTTAGCAAAAACAGTTATTATCCAGAGACTTATTCCCCATCACCACCAAAAAAACACCCATAACTGCAGTCTTAACACAAGACCATATACAGGAAAGTAATGGTTCAGCAGTTTGAAATGCTTTCAATTTAAGAACATGGGCTGCTGCCACCAACACATGATCACTAACAATTCTTCAGAGACAAGAGCTGGATGCCTCTCCAGTCCATCCCTCCCTCCCTCCCTCCCTCCCTCCTGCCGCCCCTCTCGCTTGCTTTTGCCAGGAAATAATACTGTTGCAGCTTTCTGGCTGAGCAACGTTGCTTGGTGGCATATCTGCAGTACCCAGAACCAGATCAGAGGGAGGGAGGAACGAGTGTGGGCAGGGCAGGTGGGGGGGGGGGAGAGAAGGGTGTTCACTGGGGAGTCCCCATAACCTGCCCCTGATCGCTTGCTAGCAGTAGATCATACCCAAGGGGAGGGTTCCTCATGCCCAAGGGGTGAGTGGGGGGCGGGAGGGAGAAAGAAAGAGACAAACACACCAAAAGCGCCTGACTACGACTCATTCCCTCGTCACCGCAGAGTAAGCACGGGGAAGGGGGGGGACCTTGCTCCCCGTCCGCCCCGAGCAGCACCCTGCTCGCCACCCCGCCAGGCCCACACACAGGTCGGTGGGGCACATTTCCACGGCCACCCGAGCCGTCAGCTCAGCCTCTTCTAGGAAAGGGGGCGGTAAACCGGGGCTATCCCTCATTCCAGAAGCCACAGACTTCTCCTTTATTAAACTTCCCACGAAACACCCCACCCCGCAGAACGCAGGTGCTGCGGCAGGTTTATTTGCTGACAAACTGCCCCGAGGCGACACCCCCACCCAGCCCAGGCACAGGTGAGGCGGGAGAAACTCCTCCGCCCGGTTCCCGCCACAGCCCCCTCCCACCTCCGAGACGGGCGCGAGGGGAGGGGGCGCCCTCAGGTACTCGGGATGCCCGTCACGCAAAGCTTGTCTACTCGCGAAACGCCTGTCCGTGGGTCCTCCCTCCCGCCGGACCCCACCATCCCCCCCCGCCCCCGTCGCAGCCCCACGAAGCTCCCGCCTCGACGCCCTCCCGCCGCCGGACACACTAACAATCCGCCGCCGTCCGCCCTGAGGTGAGGGAGGGAAAGGCAAGGCAAGCGAGGCGCTTACAGTTCGCAGGAACTGGATTTCGTCCTCGCCTTCGCCCGCTTCAGCCATAGCGCTCCGCCGCCGCCGCCGCTCTCGCTCGCTCGCCTTCCGGGCGCCGCTGCCTCCGTTGCCCGGGGTCGGCAGGTGGTGCGACGGCAGTAGCAGGAGGCGGCGGCACTGCCGCGGGGGAAGGAGGGAGAAGGGCTGCCAACTGAGCAAGAAGAGGCTCCCACGCCGAGCTGGTGCTGGAGAGGGGGGGGAAGGAAAGTGAGACGGGACCGCCCGGAGCCCAGCCGGCGCCGCTTCTGACGACCGGGCGCCGCTTTTCTCTCTGCAGCAGATGGGCAGCTCAGCCTCAGTTCCCTTCCGCGCGAGCGCGTGGAGGGGGAGCTGTGATTAACAGGGGCAGCGGGGGAGGAGCTCCTCGGCGGCTCCCCCGCTACTGCAGGTGATGCTGCAGCCGGCTGGCTCCCTCCGCAAAGGAAACCCGAGGCGCAGCGCCGCCCTCTGGCGGCTCGCGCGCGCAGCCAGGCAAGCAATCAAGGGGCGGGCGGGCGGGCGGGCGCGTTCCCGCGGCCTCTCCCTCCTCCACCCCGTGCGCGGGGGAGGCGGGGAGGACGGGCCCGCCCGGCGCAGAGAAGAGCTGCATGTCGACGTGCAGCAGCAGCGAGCGAGAGGGACAAGCAGGCGGCAAGCGGGGCTTGCTAGAACGAGGGAAGCCCAGTTAGCGGGGAAAGGAGACAGATGCATGTATGTCTGTGTATGCGCGCGCGTGCACGCCTGGCTGGTAGGCTTTCCCGCTCTCCCTGCTTCTGTCGGGGCGCCTGCGTCTTCCGCAGGCAGAAAACCAGCAGGAGAGGCTGCACTGGTTGCTGTGGGGCCCGCCTGTTGTTTGTTTGGCTTCTGATCACGCCGCTCTGAAATGCACAAAAGGTCTTCTTCGGGGAATCTTGCCAGGCAGGGGAGGGAAGAGCCGTCTCAAGAAGTCTAGGGTGTGTTGTACGCGCCGACTGCATGGTCATGTACATTCAGTGCTGGGTGCACGCACCTTTTGGGCGTGCTGTAAGCTGGACGTCCTCCTTGCCCGACGCTGTTTGTCACAGCCGATGTGCATCCTGCAGGAACGACTTTTTGTGCGGAGAATGCCCTTCTCAAGTACTTGCTGCATACACGTGTACACAGAGAGAGCTTTCCCGTTTGGCGCAGGCCGGCTGACGTTCCAGGGCTGTGCCACTCCCCCTCGCTGTCCTTAACTTGTCTATGAATGAAGGAGGCAAAACAGGCAGCGGCACAGGAACTTAGCCGCCTCTGCAAGCTGATATAAATATCCTCTGTATACCAGTGTATCAACACACCCGTTTGCAACACCTCTAGAAAGATTGCATAACACACATACATGCATTGGGGGAATTTCTCCCACTGGCTCCTGTCTATAAGAGGAAACTGAAGTTTTGTTCTGAGATTTACTCATTTTCAAAAGTGGTAGAAACCACTACCACCATTGCAAAAAGAACATGGATATCGGACCTGTGGCCAGATGTTGCTCTCATCAGTCCTGGAGCAAAGGTTTGCAGATGGTGAGTGTTGTAGTCCAGGAACATCTGGAGATACACAAGTTTCTCCATCCCTTAAATCAGGGGAGAGCAGATGGGTGGAGGAATTAATATGAAGTGGGTGGGGAGACCAAAGAAAGGATCTCACTCACCCCCTCCATCAATTATATCTGTCATTCATATTTGTTTTTCTGGCCAGTGTAGCATACGCACATGTGAATGCAAGCATGCATGAACATGTGTCAGAAGTTAAGTGTCTGAGAGAACAGGTGCCAGTTGTTCACAGTCTCCACTTCTGCTTCTCCACCACAATTGATCCAATATCTCCACTTGTAAACTTGAACTTGTATCCACAGTCAACAGAAACTGCAGGAATTTACAACAAAGTGCTATGCAGTGTTCAACAGAACAATGAATGTTTGTGTTATCCACGTTTGTAAAGCTGCTTGAAATGTAATTGCTAAATGCTATTAGTATTATGTGGCTGCAATCCTATACCTACTTACCTGGAATTAAGGCCCACTGAAATCACCAGGACTTGCTTCTGAGAAAATATGTACATAGCTGTGCTGGGTAAAACCTGCTATGTTTCATGTTGCACATTCAAGGGCATTTGGGGGGAAGGATTAGACGTCCATCTGCTGAAACCAGTGAAACATCATCAGTTCACGTCAGGGATGGACAACCTGTTCAGCCTCAAGAGACACCTTGGAAACGTGTCATGAACCAGATGGCTGCTGCAGTAAGAGGGTTTGTGTTTGTTTTAAAGTCATATAATTAACATAATGTGCATGTATTCACCTTCTTCACACATACAAGTTCAAAAGTTTCCACTTTCAGTTTTAAACTTATCAGTTCCATGATACGTTTGACTTCAGGCAGCTGTGGTTTGTTCTGTGGTTAGTTAAAAACAAACCAGGATGTTAAATTCTATACAGTTTGATTCAAAAGTGAAAGTGGAATCTCTTGATCTTTCCCCCTTTACTTTTCCTTCATGTGAGGACTGGGCATGTATGCCCAAGGCTTGGGAATATTTGTGTGCATAATGACAAATCATGGGTTTATCATTTACATCTTAAGCCAGCTTACTGGAGCTCAGACATCTAGCTTTTTCTTGTTTTTGTGTTTGCTCTTCATCAACCTCGTAATTTGCTATAACAATATATGCCTAATTCTCTTGTGTGCCTTTATTGCTCTATGTGAATCTTTGTCTGTTCCACACATTTAACTGCTTTTAATCTCATTAGATTTCTGTTTGTTTGGGGGGGATGGGAGAGGCATTATAATTCTCATGGGAAATTAATTATAAGGAATCACTGGAGGCTGATTCTGACCTTAGTACTTATTTCTTCATTTGTTGCCAATTCTATTAAACCAATAGGATATGCTGTGGTGTAAAATCCAAGCAGCACTTCATGCTTAGACCTTGTTATTTAAAAACTGTATTTATTTTCAGTTGTTTCTATAGCTATCCTACACCATTTCTCAGATTCATTTTCAGCTATTTTAAACTATTTGACTAAAAATAAAATATGAAGGAGATGTAGGAGATCAAGTGTCATTTTTGTTTTGTGTAATGGTTTCCTTTTACACTTCTTGGCTGAAGTAATCTTGATTGGTTCCGGGGGATTTTCTACAGGAAACACAGTGAGGATGTAATGTTGCTGTCTGCTAAGCTGAGACAACTAACCAGCAATTGAGATGTGGGAGTAAAATAAAGTGCTAGAATGCAGACAAATATAGTCACCCTGATTCAACCATATATTCTCTGTGAGAATAGCAACGTTTGAGTGGAGTAGCCCAATCTTTGATGGCTTTCCTATTAATTTAAATTAAGGAAACCAGTCTGTTCACACATTTCTTTAATTATGCAGTGATACTGTACTTGCTATCATCATCTTCCCCCTGAACATCTAGGAAGAGCTATTCTTGGACAGCACTGACAGGTCAGAAAGGGAGACCACTAGTACCCATTAGGGTTGCAGAAAATGTAAACCCTACAATGGTAGCAGCACAATCCTATGCATGTTGATTCAGAAGTCTATTCCTGGTAAACAGGACAAACAGAAGGCTATGACATACTTGGCAGACTTAGGATCCTGCTTTAGCCATAACAGCACAGTCTTTGGCTTCCCCCTCGAGAAAAAAATGATTTATTCCATTAAGCTGCAATGCATCCTTAGGCACTTAAATGGCACTTAGCTCAGCTGAAATTAATGAAGCTTATATAAGGCCTTTTTCAACTCTTACCACAAGGAAGGGTGTGTGTGTGTGTGTGTGTGTGTGGCTAAAATTGCCTGAATTACCTGGGAACCACTTCATACAAAAGGCTTTCCACATGAGACAGTATTCATGCAGTTTTTCTTCCTCAGCTGCCAGTGCAATTATGTACTAGAATCAGGCCTTACCTCCAAGTAACTTGTTCTGGAATTGAATGTGTAAGGCTATGGAGCCAATAAATTTGTTACAGCATAAGATTTCCTGGACCTCAAACTACTTCATAAGATGCATCTGGATGAAACGGACTTCCACAAAAAATTATGCCAAAAATAAATTAGTTAGGTACCACAAGACTCGTTCTTGTTGTTGTTGTTCTTGCAACAGACCAAACACAGTTACCATGGAGTGTTTAGGATTGTGATGCATCCTTTTCCCACTTGAAATGTAAATCCTTTATCTTTGATACAGATTATAAGTGGGCAAATATAAAACCCACAAATTCGTAGCACTACCCAAACCAAGTCCCACTATCATTTAACTGAATGGGAGTTTTGTCGGTCTTCAAGAGGGCTCTCTAAAAAAATTATCTGATGTTTGTTGACTGTGATCATGCTCTTTCAGAATCTGCCAGACCTATTAAACGGTACTCACATGAATAAGAACACATTTATTTAATGAACAGCAGCATTTCAATCACATTATCAGCCTCTCTGTTTTTCCATCAGCTGTTTTACATATGAAGCTTCTGATTTTTTTATTTTTTTTACAAAACCAAAACTCCCACTAAAATCATTAGTTTTCCACTCTAAAGGAAATTATATTTACTTTACTGATGATGCAATTTGTTGTTACATGGAAATATTTATAGCACAATTCTGTGCATGTTTACTTAGGAGTAAGTTGCTGAGCACGTCAACAGAGTATGCGGACATCATGTACACCTGGCGTATGGCCCCGTCCCCCTCAATAGTGCATGAGTAATGCTAAATAGGACTTCCAGTTAGGTGCATACTGTATAGCAGGAGCAGGGGAACCTTTGGATCTCCCAATGTTGCTGAACTACAACTCCCATCAACCCTAGTAAGCATGGCCAGTGGTCAAGGATGATGGCAACTGTAGTTCAGCAACATTTAGCTAGCCAAAGGCTCCCTATACTTGCTGTATTGGATTGCAGTCTTAGCGGCTTCATAGAAGTAGAATGAAATAAAAGTTTATCATTTGTAGTACAGTATAAGTCTGACCCTTTCCTATTTGATCATTGGATTCAATTTAATATTTTTTCCCTATGTGCTCTTGACTAATGCCTTGAAAATTGCATCTATGCTTAGTATTCTCAATATAAAGTTTTAAAGTTTTGGTAACATTAAAAGTTTATAAACTCGATAAAGTATGCAGACCTTGGGGCTCAGCTAAATAGGTTCTAGATAGAATGTAGTTGTGTAACTTCTGACTGCCGAGATTTCTGCAAAGAACAGTAAGATCAAAATTAAAAATAAATCTTTTATGAAGTATGCGCATTTTAAGGATTCCGCCTCTGGCAGACGTTCCCATTGTGTCACACCCACATATCATAGTAAAGGACATCAAAGTTTTGATGACAGAAGACTTGTTTTATGAAAATTCCAGAAATTCTGGTATGAATTTCTAAAAATGTTAGTTGGAATCCATAATTTTGACCCATTGTAATACTG